TAAATTTTTATATTATATTAATAAAATTTTTATTAAATTATAATTAATTAAATTTTTCCAAAAGCAAGTGTCCCATACTGTATGTATATTATTAGACTCTTCTGTTATATTAATTATATATATAACTCTAAAAATTAAAATCAAATAGACTTATATAGACTCGTATAAGATTTAAAATATTATTAAAAATAATGGTAAGTTATAATTCACATATTAAATTTAATATAAACTTAAGAATCAAGAATCAAATCAAATCAAATCATTAAAATTCTTAATTATATAAGTAAAAAAATATAATATAATAAATAACTTATATAAATAGGTAATGGTAGTTTATTATTTCTTACAAAAAGTTAAACTAGTGAATTGAATAGTTTAAATTAGTAGTAAACCTTCTATCTCTTAAATAGGCTTTTTTGAAAATATATAATATACTTTAAGAATAAATAATATATTATTAGATAAAGTAAATAAGCTAATATTTAGCTATTGTAAAGTTTTTAATAATAATATTTTAATATTAAATCAATATTAAATTTATATAAGTCAGTACTGTTTTAATATTTAGTTCAAAATTTTAAGTTGTTATAATAGTAATAAAAAATATTTGATATATCATAAAATTAAAAACTTTTAATAAAAACCTGTATATATTGTTATTCTATTATAAAAATAAAAATAAAAATAAAAATATTTTAAAGTTTTATTAATCTATAATTAATTATTAATTTATATATTGAAATAATTTAAATAATTTATTATTGTTGTTGTTTTGTAAATAATAAAATTTAATTAGTTATTTCTTTTTAATTAAAATTTAATATTATTTTAATATGTTTAAAAAATTTATTTGTTTGTTTTTATTCTTTATATCTTTAAATAAATAAATCTTAATTAATTAATTAATTATTAAATTATTAATAAAAATATAATTTTAATTTTAAGCAGTTTTTTTTGTTTCAAATTGTATATTAATTATATATGAATTATAATTTAAGTAATTTATTAATTATCAAATGTTTTTTTTTTAATTGCCAAAAATTTTTTGTATCAGAGTATAATTAATAATATAGGTTATCAATGTAATGATGAGATTGACGATGTCATATGACGAATGATTTCAGTTACGCGAACGCGATGAAAAATAGGCATCAAATCTAATTAACGACGTTTTTTCGTATTTTTCGTGAGTATTACTATTCATTTGACTATACATTTTTCCCAGACGTTTCCTGGCCCCGTAAGTCCTACGAGACTGGGATGTTCGCTCCCCAGATCTGCTGTAGGTGTTGTGTTTGGAGCGGGCTCACGACGAAGTTCGTTTCGCAAAAATGGTGTTTGGTTGTGTATCCAACCATATTGCCATCGTGTGCCGGTTTTTGAAGCAATAGTAAAGGTTCTGATCGAAATGTCAGCGTATCCTGGCTCTGTAAGTCCTGCGAGACTGGGATGTTCGCTCCCCAGATCTGCTGTAGGTGTTATGTTCGGAATGGGTTCGCGACGAAACCTTGTTTCGAAAAAATGGTGTTTAGTGTCCTTCTGTTTCACAGCGGGGTTCTCAGTGCCATCGTGAACCGACCTTTTCTGTTTCTTCATAGATTTCTGGTGTCATTAATCAAACTTCAATGGAAATAACAGTTCTGTTACTTATCCATAGATTTTGTTTTTTGTAGGCAATATACGTAAAGTACAAACATTATGGTATAATTCTACACTTTCACCGCAATCTTAATTGTTTTGGAATGCTCACTCTGTTTATTCTCGTAGGAAACTACGACACCTTTGAACCCTCAACTTCAGTTCGTTATTGGTATGCTGTCCGATTTCTCTCCCATCAAATTTTATAAGAAATATGTAAGCTTGCACACATCTCGTGAGGAAGCTGAGGCGAGCTTGTTAGCTCTGCTGAAAATTGTGAGTCAGGGAAGGCCAGAGAAGCTACTTATGCTAGAAAGCATATCGCAAATTTCAATTACATGATCATTAACAAGAAGTGTGACCTATATTGGGATTATAAGAACGTAAAAATGGCGAAAAGGCGAGCAGAGAAACGAAGAGAGATTCATGAGTATAATATGCAATACAACGTGTATCAAGAACACGACATTTACAGCACAATAATCACGAAGTTGGCGGGAGAAAAACGAAAATATGTCATAGGCGAAGATGAAACGTCCCCCAAAAGGTAATAAATAATTCAGAACTCACCTCATAGGTATTCTTAATGTGTTTACAAACTTTGTAAATTTGATGCGAAAAAATCAACATATTATGAATCAGAAATTGATGTCGGAGAATCGGAGATATAAAAGATATTCTCTTTTCTTTTACTACATATTCTACTAATAAATGGACATTCGTTATATAGGTTGCAAAGAAAAAGAGTAAAACTGACGAACTTTTCCAAGATTTGAGAAAACGTAATATATATATGTTATGTGGACCATTTAGAAGATTATCAGAACTGGATGCGGAGGAGCGGTTTGAAAATATTATTTACGACACTACTGTTGAAATTAATCTCCCCAAAGATATCAAAGAATACCTTCGCGATTTGCTCAGTGGGGATATTAAAAGTGCTTTGTTAAAAGTAAAAGAGCCACTCAATGAGAACGCGCGACCATTACTGTTATGGGCAAATGAAGTTTGCCGGCACTTTATTTTTTACTTCCATTATGATGGGTTACAAACAAACAGCGACGAAAAAACTTGGTCCAACCAAACGGTCTATCGCATTCTTGATTTATTTTCGATGTTTTTTGGAAATTTGACATCAGGAATTGCCTTGTAAGTCTTTAATTTTTGTACCTTTGCTTTATGATAATTTGATCATATTTTTGCTTTTAATGGAGAAGTTGTAAACGAAGCGCACCAAGATAGAATTTAACCATAAATGTTGATTAAATTCAAGTAGGGGTGACAAGAACGATGCTGTCCTATATCAAGATGAGAACGCTACAGTTGTATATGAACAGTCCTTCGGGCCTAAAGAATTTGATTCGACGCAATATATGGAAGATATAACGAAATTAGCGCGTAATGGAATAGATGACCTAAATTATCACTTCTTACAGTATGGCAAGTCCTCCGTAACAACGGCGAAAAAACTCAAATCCATTGGCATCCATGGATATGGTATATAATTTCCTTTTCGTTTTGCATGAATAGATTGTTTTGTGTTAAGGCTTACTTAACTTATATGCTTTAGAATATTATGTGTCAATCTACCTCATGGATCTCATTTGTAAGAAACTATATAGGATATATGAAATATTTAATTGTAAAATTCCAACATCATATACAGATCGATGGCTTCTAACTAATATTGTAATGATAGGCGTCTACTTGGAGGTATTTCTTTTTCCAGACATAAAATGTATCTCATTTACTATCACTTATTAGAATTTGTTTACTACTACAGGCACTGCTCGTGGAACGACAATCTGTGAAGGTAAAAATGTGTGAAGAAGACATGATCCCTGTAGATGGTCCCTATTGTGTGCGCGATTGGATGTCAGTTCCGGATAACACCCCTGAAACAAAAAGAACAAGTTACTCACAAAACCAATAATTTTTCTAATTTTTACTTTGTAAACATATTTTTACTGCACTTATTTGTGTCAAGTGAAGATTGATTGAATTCAATGAAAAAATAAAGTTTGGTCAGTTAATTCTTCGAGTACGCGTTTTACAAAGGCAACATTAAGGCACATGAAGGTTGAGGACTTGATATCCGATGTTGAATAATAATGTGGCAGATAGTCTCACTTATAAAGCAAGGCTACTTTATAGCTGGAATAAGAAAACCTTGTGCCTATACCACTGTTTTATTGAAATAAAATATACAGTATATGGATATAATAAAAAGTATACTTAAAATTAAAAAAAAAAATTTTTTTTTATTATTAAACATTCTAAATATATTTATATAAAATTATTTTATTTATTAATTAAATAAAATTTGTAATAATAATTTTTTAAA